TCTTTATTACACAAGTTATTATTTATTAAATGCAGATTATTTATTACGCAACAGGAGAAATGTTAAGACTTTTACAGAAGTGAGGAAACCTGTGTCCGGCGTGGGTTTTCAAACGCGACGTTAAAGCTGAGTTTTACACACGAAAACAGCTGTTTATTTTAACGCTGTAAAATCCAGTTTATGTTTAAAGTGTTAATAATCAATAATCATGGAACGTCCGGATGGCTCAATCAGATCAAATAAAACTGGCACAAAGCAGAAATGTGTGGCGCAGATTAAACAGAGGAGAAATAAAACTTTAAATTGTTACATTAATGAATGTCGCGCTCAAATCTGAGCAGCTTACCTGTTTTAAAGTCAGGTTTAAAGTCAGGTTTAAAGTCAGGTTTAAAGTCAGGTTTAAAGTCAGGTTTCAGGCGGAGAGTCGAACCGAACTTCCGGGTAAAAACCGAACTTTTGTTGATCAAGTTCAAGTCGTGGTGCCTTCAAGTACGCCCCGGAAATCTCATTGACAAATCATTTTCTCACACAATCAAAAACAGGTTGGAATAAAGATCACGTTTAACAGACAGAACATGATAATGTAACAATAATTAATCAAACGAAATGTTTAATAAATGTGTTTAATGAGACAAAGACTTTATGGAGATAAAACAAACATTTTTATTATAACATTTTCCATCACAAACCAAATAAATTATCTTTCAATTAGACGAATACTAATGCAGACTTATTCATTCCCATATATTTTATTAAGCTTTATTCATTTGTATGACAGAATTTTTTTCTTCAAAGTTATTACGCAAAATGTGTTACGTGTTATTAAGTCAGAGTTCCGACCGCACGTGAAGGCATCAGAAGGAAGCTGCATCAGTTTGTTTACATTTAATAAAACGGGAAGTTTGACTGAAAATTTCAATTAAATGTATTTAAATAGCTCCAAGTCACAACACAAGTGTCTCAGGGACTGATCAGAAACATTCATATAAAATAATAATTGATCAGAAACATTCATGTATAAAATAATAATTGATCAGAAACATTCATGTATAAAATAATAATTGAACAGAAACATTCATATATAAAATAATAATTAACAGAAACATTAATCTATAAAATAATAATTGAACATTATTTATCTGAGGAGCAGCTTTGAGTTTAACTCCATCACTGAACTCTCATCTTGAACAAGCATGAAGGCGACAGTGGAAAGAAAAACTCCCTCATGAGGAAGAAACCTTTAGCAGAACCAGGATCAGGACAAGAGGACCATCTGCTTCGACCGGCTGGGTTTGGTAGGAATAGATACACAATGGCAGGTCAAGAATCACATGTTAAGATAGAAATAGTATCAAATGAAAAATATTCAATTTTAACAATTCATTTAAGGAACTGAGGTCAGTTTGTCCTCTAGTAGTCTAAGCCTATAGCAACAAGCCGACCCTACGAACCGGCTGAAAGAACCTCACTGCTAACCAAACCACTGCAGATGTGTTTCTTTTTCACCTTGGACGTCTTGTTTGCGTCTTGTTGCATTTCTGCGGCTGCTTTGGGATTTTCTTGTAGTTGCTTTGCAAGTCGGTTCTTCTCGTCCTCAGCATTTCGTTGCATTGTTGATCTTGTGCTGATTTTGCATACGACAAATAAACCAAACCTGAACCGACCCTAACTATAGGATTTATCAAGAAGGAAAGTCTTAAACTGGTCAATGTGTCAGCCTCACGGACAGAAACTGGAAGTTGGTTCCACAAGAGAGGAGCCTGAGAACTGAAAGATCTTCCTCCTAAAAATAATTTTATCTGTGCTCGCTCAGCCGGACAGATCTGGAGGCCCAACTCTTCTTTAGTTCAGATGATCAGAACCTGAAGATCATCTTATAAACAGAAAAATAGTCAAAGACCTGAAGACGAGTCGCCCTTCAGCTGAGTCGCAGCTAAAATAACTCCTGACCATCTGCAGGATCTTTGGTTCTTCTCATGGATTCAGCTGTTCCTGTTTAAAAACTCTTCAGTGGACAGTTTGTTCGGCTTTATATCTATATTTAAATAAACATAACAATCAGCGCGAGACCAGATATTTTAAATCCATACATCAGAATAAAAACTCTTTGTTAAATAAAAACCACCAGTAGACAACCTGCAGCCCGAGGGCAGCGCAGCTTTAAACAGCTAAAGGAACAAAAAGCTGAATGTGGTCATTTAACTTTCCAACATTGTTCTAATGTAATTACACAAAAACTAAGGAAATGAAACATTCCCGTGAAATAAAAACAACATGTTCTAAATATTAGGTTTAACGATGAACCAAATAGAAAACATTATTTACGTTTTGTCATTAAATAAAATTTATCCCGAGTCGAGAAAAGGATAAAAGAAAAGTCATGTTTAAGTTTTATAAAACGATACAAAGACTGCATGAACACTTTTACATCATGAAACTTAAAAAACTATAAACTGCTAAAGTTAGAAAAATCAGTAAAAATCATCAGAACTGTGCAGGCAGAGGTCCAGGTGCTAAAAAGTTCTGGTTCTGATGTCTGAGGCTGAAATGACCCAAACTCTGAGTACTAAAAAAATGAATAGAGGGAACCTCAAACAAAGAGCTGACTCAGCGTTCACACCAGGAACACAGTCTGAGTGGACCCACGGGTCCAGAACTAGTGGGTCCAGCACCCATGGGTCCAGGTCGAAGGCGGTCTGGATGAGGTCCCTGACCCGGTTAGTGACTGACGGTCTGACCCAGAGCCGTGTCCTCTGGAGTGCTCAGAGAACAAATCTCGAGGGCCGTGCTCGTTTTGCTGAAGTCCTCTGCAGAAACCAGCCGATCCGACCCGGAACCGCTTTTCTTTTGTCTCCAGATGTGGACCGATCCCAGAACCAGAACCAGGACCGAGACGGCCAGCAGAAGGGAGACAACAACCAGCTCTCTGTAGTAACTCTTCTCCCCCTGAGGTTCATGGGAGGGTCTCAGCCCAGAGTGCAGGTTCTGTCTGGACGTGGAGAGAAGGTCCATTCTGTCATCAGAACCGTCATCAGAACCGTCAGGTTGGGCTGGGAGTTCTTCACCTTTAGCTGCGGTCAGACGGTTCTTCGGCCCGTCTGTAAAGTTCTGTTTCAGTTCTTCATCGGTTGTTGGTTCTCCATCTGGACTTTCTGTTCCAGAATCCTCTGGACCTGGTCCAGTGCTCGGTTCCTCGGTCAGAATCTCTTCAAACTTCTCCTCAGAACCGGTGGAGTCCGTCTGGAACGATCGAGGACTGAGGATCTGCCGGACGACAAAGCTCGCCACCACCTCCTTGGCCCCGCCCTCCTCGGCCTCGCAGCGGTACCTGCTGACAGTGACGGAGGAGGCGAGGAAGCTGAGGCTGCCGTCGCTCGACAAGATGAAGAGCTTCTCCGGCAGAGGTCCGGCTCGAGTCCAGGTCCAGGTGAGGGTGGCCACGTTGGACGGCTTCAGACACGGCAGCCTGACGGCGTCGTTCAGGTGGACGAAAACTTCTGCACACAGGAAGGAAGAAACGGGTCAGGATGAGCCCAGAGTGCTCTGGAACTGATCTGAAGTCAGTTCTGATGGAGGATCGGATCATGGAGGGCGGCAGAACCTGTGTCCTCAGCGACCCGGTTGTCCTCCGCACATTTGTCCCCCACGCTGCCGGTGTCCAGGTTCTGGACTCTGAAATCAGACAGCCTGTCAGTCAGAACTCAGGGCTCCAGTACTCGTGTTCTGGAAAAGTCCATCTTTACTCACATGTCCTCCTGGTTCTGGTTCTGGTCCAGACCTGTGCAGACTTTCCTGGACCGGCTCCACACACACAGAGGGTCTTGGGCCAGGATGCACCGCCTGCAGGTTCTGTAGATGGAACATCGGGCCACCGGTACCACCGTCACACCTTCAGACGAGCCCACGTACAGAACCCCCTGTAGAACCACATCACAGTGAGCTGGACCCCGAGGTCCTGGCCCAGAGGTCTGGACTCTGAGGTCTGGACCCCAAGGTCTGGACCCTGAAGTCTGGACCCTGAGGTCTGGGCCCCGAGGTCTGGACCCCGAGGACTGGATCCCGAGGTCCAGGCCTCGAGGTCTGGACTCCAAGATCTGGACTGGACCCCGAGGTCTGGGCCCCGAGGTTTGTTTCCTGAGGTCTGGACCCTGAGATCTGGACCCTGAGGTCTGGACCCCGAAGTCTGGACCCCGAGGTCTGGACCCTGAGGTCTGCAGATAGGATGTGAGGTCTACCTTGGAAGAGGACAGGACCAGGCTCTGGACCAGTTGAGGTTGTGTGAAGACCTGGATCTCTTCGATGACCCGGGGGCCCTGGTCCAACAGGACCACCTTGTGGAGGAAGCCAGTCTCTGGAGGTCCAACAGAATCCGATCATCAGATCTTAGAGAAAACCTTCAGACTTTAATCTTCAGGCTGAAGAACTAAATCTCACCGGTGAGCAGGAACAGGATGTGATACAGTCGGCCGTCAGCTGCAAGCGTCCTCATGGCAGCCAGCCGGGTGTACTTCTGATCCGAGGAGACCAGAACCTGTTTGGGGTCCACACTTTGACTGGTCAGGAAGGTCTTCTTCACCTCTTCCAGCTCAGGATCCGAAGAATCCGACAGTCCGCACTGTCAGAGGAACCATCACAGATTTAACAAAATAAAACCACAGATTCAACAAAATAAAACCACAGATTCAACAAAATAAAACCACAGATTTAACAAAATAAAACCACAGATTTAACAAAATAAAACCCAGAAACTTGTAAATACAGCGTGAGCTCTGAAAAATGTTCAAGAAGCTGAGACTGAGATGGTAAAGCTGAAAACTGCAGAACATGAGCTAAATGCTAAAAAACAGAATACTAGCTAAAAACTAAAAGAAGCAGCCCGTTAGCTAAATGTAGCAGAACATGAGCTAAAAGCTAAAAGAAACAGACATTAGCAAAAAGCTAAAGGAATCAGATCAAATCTGAAGCTCTCGACCTTTGACCTCTCTAAGTGGCTTCAAACATTTGTTAAGTTCATGGTAAGAACCAATGTTCCTGTTTTTAGTTTTCTACACCGCCTTATAATCTAGCTGTTTTTTTGTTACATTTTCTTTTAAATACCGTTTTATTTTCACTTGTTTAAAAAATCTCAGTTTGTACGCTTCCTTTATGTTTGTTTACGGTTGTCATCAGTCTTTGTTAAATTCAGGTCTCTCTTGTAACCGAGTCCCCGAGGCTCAGTGGGATTAACCTGTACAAGGATTCAGGGATTCAAGGTTCTTTATTTGTCGCACACACCTCATGTGGTACATGTGGTGGAATGAAATTATGTTCACAGGGTCCCAGTTACATCCAACAATAAAATGTAAAATAAAATCAATGATAACGTCCAAGATATGAACTAAGAAAAGCATCAACTAAATATACACGAAGCACTCTTAGTATAAAACGTTACGTTGAGCAGCAGCACGAACATGAAGTTGAATGAATGAAAAAAGGAGCTTGCATGCTGAAAAAGTGCCCCCCCCCCCCCTGCAGCTTATACCCTGACGCTGTAGACTCATAAATCTCTAATCAGGATGATCACTGTGAAAAAAATCACTGTAATACAACTTTGAATATTGATATGTGCTGCTGATCTCATGCTGCTGATCTCATGCTGCTGTATTCATTCATTCATACTCATCCACCCACAAAGACTCATGTTCGTGCCGCTGTTGTTCGGTGTTTTGTTTTGCACTAATAGTGATTAGCACATATCTTAGTTTATATCTTACATCCTTATTCACCGTTTCTTTTTACATTTTATATTTTTTCTATTGTTGGATGCAGCTGGGACCCTGTGGACACAATTTTGTTCCACCTCATGTACCTCATGTCGTGTGAATGACAATAAAGAAACTTGACCTTGGCAAAAACTCTGCTCCTGCACCTGGAACACCTGGCAACAGGAAGTCAAGTTGTCCTCCTTAATTTCTGGGGATTCAAACATTTGATAATATCAATAGAAACATCAAAGCAAATAAGTTCTTGTTTTTAGTATTTCCCTGATTTATTGTTTTACACACTACTTTTATTTTAACTGTATTTTTACTGTATATTATTGTTGTTTATTGTTGTCTGTGCTGTGCATGTTCTGTCTGGAACAGGTGTCTCTTGTAGACGAGTCCTCGTGGCTCATGAGACTAACCTGTACAAATAAAGGTTGAATGAATGAAACATTAGCTAAAAGAAGCAGACATTAGCTAAATGCTGCAGAACACGAGCTAAAAGCAGCAAATGTTTAACTAAATGTTAGAAGAAGCAGAATAGAAGCTAAAAGCAGCAAAAGGATGGCTAAAAGCTAAAGTTAGCAAAGCAGCATTCAGTTTTTGTTTCCACGTGACACGACATGAGAAGCAGTTGGTATGAAGGAAATGTCACATCAGAGCTCAGAGTGGGACAGATGTCCTCACCTGTCCCAGGTGGGACCGTCTGTCCTGGACTGGACTCCACTGATGAGAGTTAACGTTTAAGGTTCTGTAGTTTCCGGTGAAGACGTTTCTGACGTCCTGCAGGCTGAACGAGCACACGGCAGACTGCGTGGACCTGGATCGGGTTTACACCAACGTCATCAGCTGATGTTACAGTAGACAGAACTTGGACCCAACCAGAACCAGACATCCAGTTTTCTCACCACTGGGAGGTGAAGACTCCGTAGAACCGGGTCTCTGAGGCGCTGCTGCCTTCCGGAGGCCCGAGGACGAACACGTCCTGCAGGAGGTTAAACGGAAGCTGTCCGGCCTTCTGGCACATCACAGCCGCCTTGGCAAAGGACGTCCACTTCTTCTGCAGTGTCCTCTGTCCACCAACATCATCCTGTGAGACAAAAAGACGCACGTTAGCCCAGTTCCTCTCTTCCACCATCTTGTTTGTCACCTTTCAGCGTCACCTTGCAGACTTGAGCCACTCGGGGGATTCGAAACTCGTTTACGAAACTGAACTCTTCCCCAACTTCAGTAAAGAAGAAGTAGAGCTTGTTCTGGGCCGGATCCAACGACGAGCTCACGAACGTGGGCTCTGAAAGACAGGAAGTGAGGACGACAGGAAGCGGGGAGCCGCAGAGATGTGAAATAGGATTATATATAAAACGCTGCAACCAAACACTCAAATCTTTTCTGGTCTTGACTTCAAACAGAAGAAGATGAAAGAACAGTAAAGTGATTATAAGGAGCTTCTGTTAGAGGACATGAATAAAGTCTGCTGTGGTACGATGGTTCAAACCCAGACGTTTAGAGCTTTTCCTTCATCATTTGATTAAAATTAAATTTTTTAAACTTCTGTTGAACAGACTTTCAATAATGTCACTTCGTTTCGACATCATCTTTCTTTAGAGTTCCTGGTGAGACTTCCTGTTGGTCCTTCAAACACAGAAACCTCAAACTTGGTGTATTGTTTTTCTCACCACTTCTGCTTTTAACTGCAACACAAAGCTGAAGAGAACAAGCTTTAAAACGTGCATCTCGATCAGACGACCTGACTCCGCCTCCTTAGATTCATGTACCTGATAAATGAGCATCAGGACCTTCAGGTACCTGATAATTGAGCATCAGGACCTTCATGTACCTGATAAATGAGCATCAGGACCTTCACGTACCTGATAATTGAGCATCAGGACCTTCATGTACCTGATAATTGAGCATCAGGACCTTCATGTACCTGATAATTGAGCATCAGGACCTTCATGTACCTGATAA